TAAGCTTATTCCAGAATTCCTTTATGCTACAGCAATAACTTGTAGATTTTGCCAGTAAAAGTAATTCGTTTGGTTATAGAGACTTTCCAAGCGTAGCTTAGATGTGGCACAAGGCCGAAAGTATGGGGTACCTAGTGAGGGTCGAACTCACTAATTTGTCGTAACTGTTTTAGCGAGACAAGCTTGTTCACCATTACATCTCGCCGAGGTGCCCAATTCGTTTGGTTATATGCACGAATTTTGCTTTGTTTAAAATGTTCTAGGCAAGGGTCTGTTGGTTTTAAAAATACACGCTCATGCCATTGTTGATTTCATGGCATTACGTAGTTTAGCTTCAACTAATTTATTAGGTTGAGTCATAAGCAATTTCCATTTTTCTGGGTAGGGGGGTGGTGACCAATTGTCCCCACAATACGTAAGCGATCATTTCTCTCCACACTTTCCTGTCTTTTGTAGGTCTTAATAAATTTTGTCTTTTTTCTTAAAACCTGTTTCGACATGCATTTACTTGAGCTCACTAAGTATATTATGCGTTGTTTTCCTCTGTCCCTCTTGCCTTCAATCATTCCTGTGAGTATCAGATTTTCCATGCCCTCTTTCCTCATTATGTGACATATATTTCAACTGTTTTTCCCTGATGCTAAGTATGAGTTTCCTTTTTGTTACCATTTTCTCTAAAAAATCGTCGTTGCTCACATCTGATATCCTCAGCATCCTTTAGTAGAAACATATTTCTGTTGCTTCAAGTCTATTCTTCTATCTTTGAGAAGAGAAGGTTGTCCACTGTCATATAGGAGGACAGAAATCGCGTAACAGTTCAGTATTCTTTTCTTTGTTTCTAACGATGTTTCCGTACATTACATGTCATAACAGATAATAAAAAGTGGGTTGGGTACAACAAAGCTCCAAGCAGTACATTGACAAGGATAACTCTCCACTGTTCTGATGTATTATTATTATTATTATTATTATTTTGATGTCGTACATTGAAGTAGTCCGTGGAAATTCTATTCTTGAGACATGGGGTTAACAATATTTCTCACAACTCAAGAACGTCTCGATGAATCCCCGTAGAGTAAATTAGGCTTACGGCCGCATCACATTGAAACACCGACCACACATCCAGCCTGGAGGACAGCTAAGGAATACCAGGTGATGTAAGCTTGGATGTGCGGGTGGTGTAATCAATAACGGCTCCGAATTGGAAATCGGAGAGCCGTGTTCCAATTCAATTTGGGCTCGTTATATTCATATACGCACAAATACACTCGGGAAAGGATTGAACCCACTTCTTCTTCCCTGAAACGCATGTGTTAATTAGTAAGATTTGTCTAACTAAATCATCGTTATCTCCCAAAACAAAAATATTCTTACAATCTAAAATGATATTTTTGCTTTAAATAAACTGCAACGGGTTGATAAACCGTAGAAAACGAATCAGTCAATTATCCGTTGAGTAAATTGCGACATTTTTGGTCTCAATGTCAATTTTCCTTAATCGCTTCTTCAAGCTTCCAGATGTTGTTCCAAACGCATCCATTACTTCAGGAATTACTTCAACAGTCATGTTCAATATCTTCTTCAACTCCCTCGCCTCATTTTTCAATCTTTTCAGTTAGTTCGGAGTCTACTCTAGTATCGTATGTCACACGAAAATCAATAAGGGCAGGTCTTCCTGCTCCAGTGACATGATCTGTCTGGACTAAAGAAATCCCATAATATCTGGCGACTGTCATTTTCTACTAGAGTCTTTGGCTGATATCCATACCATTTTTCATTCACATTAAAGGCAAATTTATGACATACTTCCAAATGGATTATCTTACAATCCAATCATGTCGCCGCTATTGCCAACTTGGAGCATTCACCGAGTAATTGTCTCATCAGCTTGTTCACTCATCATGCATTATTATTATTATTATTATTATTATTATTATTATTATTATTATTATTATTTTCTTCTTTCCTTTGATCTCTATCGTATACACATATCCTACCAGGTCCCAACTAGAAACCTAATGTCAGAAATGACTTCATGAAAATTTACTCTGAGCATTTTTGCAAAAATAAATAACAAAAAAACTAAGGCCACACACATTTTACATAGATAAAGCTCTTCGTAATGCGTGAGCTTTACTTGCGAATAGGATTTTTTGTATTTCTTTAAAGTATGGGCTACTAGGAATCCATTTAATGACTCAATCGGAATCTTTTCTCATCAATCCGAGTGCTCCACCTACAATTAGGATTATTGATGTTCTCATGTGCCACATTTTTTAGATTTCCACTTCAAGAGTCTTGTATTTTGATATCTTTTTGAAGATCTTCAAAGATACATTACAATCTACAAGGAATTCCATGTCAGTAAGTAAGTACATTCTGTTTTTGTGGTATTTGACCATGATGTCTGGGCGATTAGATCTGATTCTGTCTGTGTATGTTGTAACGTCCCATAAATTGTCACAGGTCCTATCTCTGTAAGCAGATCTGGGTGATTTACATACCGGTTTCTTGCAGTTTCCTTTCCGTAAATGTTGCATATTTTCCAGTGCAGATATTCGCCCACTCTATCACACCGAGTTTTATATTCAGTTGGTGCTAACACCGCGCAACCTTGGTAATTTCTAATTAGGAAGGATTGGTCCTGTGCAGCAAGAATAAAACTTTTGGTTTCATCTTTTTAACCAGAACTCCATAAACACTGATGTGTATGGAGTTTGTGTACATCATCTTGTTTGGTACGGGTTGAATATTGACCATGAAGAGGCTTATTTTGCCATCGTTTCTGCATTGGTACATTGCATTTGCTTTCGTTTTTAGGTTTTTGTCGCTGCATTAGATGTATTATAGTTTTTTTCACGTCTTCATCCACAAGAAATTCCATTTTAAATTCGTTGTTTTCTTTTATTACTGAATAAACTTTCTTATTTTTTCGTGTTCTTTGACACACATCATCACACAGTCTTCTGTAGTTTCCAAGTGTCTTTGAAGACCGATTGTTGTGGTTTTGTAAGGTTCTAGTTGAACTAATCCTCTGCCTCCTTTGGATCTGGACACATATAGGGACAGCCAAAGTGTTTATGGCTGATATTCTGTTTTGTGAATTAAACTCTGTATTTAACACTAGACGCATACGCCTGTAGTATTCCTTTCTTATTTTCTCCTTCATTTGGGTCTGCATCCCACCTCTTTCACTAACTCCTAATTATTTATAGGCTTCTTCTTGTTCCAGTTGCCCAATCTTTGTGACAAAATATAGATCTATTGAGTGTGTTTCATGTAATTTCTTTCTTGAATGTTACTCTTGCACATTTATCTCATCCGAAATCCATAATGATATCATCACTGAAATATTTTACAGTATTGAGGATACCTTTCAACTCATTGTAGTCTTTGGCAAAGAGTTTGATATCATCTATGTAGAATAGGTGATTAAACAATATCTTTTTTTAAATTTTTATCCATACTTCGTTCACGCGAAATGAGAATTAAGGACAGATTCAAACAATTAGATGTGGCAGTGCCATTGGTGTGATTTAGACATAATGCGGTTTTCCACAGTTCCATGATACATTTAAGGAGATTGTATATTTCCAAAGCCTTAAGGACTCAAGAGTGTGGCGCACCATCAAAGGCTTTACGATAATCTATCCAAGCTGTGCTGAGATTTCTACCTTTTTTTCTGCAATTTTCCAGGATCATTTTAATTATTATTTTGCAACCATATGAATTTTAATTTCTCTTCTGTTCCAGATCAATTTATATTTGGTTGACAAACATGCCTATAATTTTTGGATAATCTCTTTCACCTGTTTTTGGTAGGAGATATTTAAAGCCTTGAGTGATTCATTCTAGAATTTCATTGGAGTTATTAATTAGCATTGAAAACGTTTGTGCAAGAATTTTATGGATTGATGGCAGATTATAGAGCCAAAGGTTGAGTAACTTGAGATTTCCTTGGAATTTCCATTTTTGTGATATTGTTAGATCTTGCCTAACATCATTATTATTATTATTATTATTATTATTATTATTATTATTATTATTCTGCTAGTTTCTTAGTTTGCGTATAGGTTGCGCTCTGCCGTTTTTAATCGGGAGGAAAGACGACAAAGACATATCAGAATCGCTGTTCTTTCCCCGTGTTTTGAACGGGAGTAGAGGCTTACTCGTGTTTTCTGTTTAGGACTGGTTTTCCGGTTTCTTCTCTTAAAGTATTCTTATAGTCTTTCACACCCAGAAACTCCTTGCACCGTTGTGACATTATCGCCTTACTCGGGGTGAAATGATTAAAAACCAAAGTTCTATTGTAGAAAAGAATTAAATCAAAGTATGTGATACATAGTAATTTACTAAGCGAAGCTTAGATGTGGTACAAGGCCGAAAGTATGGAGAACCTATTGAGGATCGAACTCACTACTAATTGGTATGGCGAGACAGGATTGTTAACCATTACACTATGTCGAAGTGCTTAAAAAGGTATGTGATATATAACCTACTATGGATTAAAAAGAAAATGGAATGATTTCGATGACGACAGTGAAACTATGCAAGAGAAAAATTATGATGAAAAACAGAAAAATGGCTTTAGGATGGACCGTTGAAGAATTCTTAGCACGACCCACCCCTCCGAAAATCTGAGCAAATGACAAAACGAGATAGTTTGGAAGGGCTTCCTGGTTGGGCTGGGAACATATCAGAACATTTTTATAGGCGCCAGTAGGAAAAAAATGTTATCTGAGAAATAATTAAGTGATCCTGCAATTTGTCTTTCGGAATCGTTTTATTTAGCGTAAAAAAAAACAAAAAACAAAAAAACAAAACAAAAAAACAAAACAAAAAAAAAAAAAAAATCCCGTACAAGAAAAGCAAATATGGAGGAACATAAGAGAATGGGGTCTTTAAAGATTCCAGCAGAAAAGAAAAAAGGGATAAAAACTGAAAAATTTACTTACAGTATTACAATCCTTTAGGCTTGAAAAATTGTGTTTAATATTAAGACTTCAATTAGAAATATTTTTTTTACTTTATTTTAATCTGCCACTTATTGACTATTTACATCTATCTATCTATTATCTATCTATCTATCTATCTATCTATCTATCTAAAGTAAAGTAAGTGAAATATAAAAACGTATTAAATATACATTTTTAGTTGATTTATGTTTACAGAAACAGTGAAAATGATGTGCAGGCTACAACTGCAAAATGTATCAACATAAAACTTATACACACATATGCACACACACACTCATATATATATATATATATATATATATATATATATATATATATATATATATATATATTCACACGGGGTGACTTTTGTGGTATACATTAAAATAGGCAAATAGGTATCATAACATTCTTCCTATCATTTTTAATTTTTTTGTGTTTCTGTCTTTATTTATAAAATTATCTATCTATCTATCTATCTATCTATCTATCTATCTATCTATCTATCTAAAGAGAAACATTAAAAATGTGTAACCATATTAAACAAATATATCTGTGTATTTTATGTATGTTTACAGATACAAAGATAATGATAATGATGTATATTAATCATTTCACACCAAACAAGGCAACAAAGCTACTAAGGTGCAGAGGGTTTCCTGAGTATGAAAGAATATAAAAAAATATTAAGGAGTAACAAAAATAAAAGAACACCATTTAAGAAGAGAGTATTTATAGTTTCAATTTCCGAGAAATTTAAAAAGAAATCCGCCCCAACCAATGCATTAAAGCCACTAAGATGAAAGGAGTTACTGAGTGTAAGAGGATATAAGAAAAGAAAGCATTATTAACGAGATAGAACAACAAAAGAACAGGAATTAAGAAGACAAGATAATTACTGATATTGCATTTAAATGTCTGAAGTTCAAACTTGACTGGAAAGAAAGTCAGAAAAGAAACTGTTCGAAGAGTACATATAGTTAAATTTAGCCATTTCAACTGTTAAATGATGAGATGTTGCCGCCAATCTAAGACTGCGCTTAAATTCATAAAGTCTAGGTACCATAGAGGAAAGATCATCAGAACAATTACCATAAAAATATTTATAGAAAAGGCAGAGGGAAGCTACGTTACGGTGGCGGGAAAGTGACTGAAGCCGAGATTCTAGGTCCAGACCAATGCCATTGTAGATTCTTCTTTGGATTTTATCAAGATTCTCCAAATATATAGCAGGAATACGAGACCATATTTGGCAGCAATATTCAAAGCATGGACGAATGGTAGACTTAAAAATATATAACATAGTTTCGGGAAAGAAACATTTTGTAGCAGGAAACCGCAAGAAAATACTTTCTTAGCAGCAGACCTAGCAATTGATTCAATATGATAATTCCTCTTCATGTCAGAGCAAAAAGTTAGCCCTAGAAGACGTAATGAGTCATTCTCCTGGAGGTTTCAGTTCGCATCAGCCATACTTATGGATCACAAAAGATGCAGAAAGTGTTCTCTAACAAGATATATATATATATATATATATATATATATATATATATATATATATATATACTAACGCCTGATGAGATGCGTTGATTCGCATCGAAACACGACTGCAATTGTGTAGCATTTTTGACATGTTTTTGATGTAATATCCTAAAATAAAGAATATTGCTCTACTTTGTATTGAGCCCTCCTTTAAATTAAATGTTACGAACGTTGAATTGTACTCTATTCGTTCTCTTTTTACACACACACATGTATATATATATATATATATATATATATATATATATAGTAAGGTAAAAAATATATTAGTATATAATCCAAGTGGTTCCTTGTAATATAAAAATATTAGAAGTGATCTATATGTAGTAAAAGGATTTGTTTGATTATTAAATATATATATATAAAAGGATTTGTTTGGTTATTTCCCCCACCACTTCCATAATAACACCAATACACGCAATCTACATAAACCCAAAATTTTAAAAAAATTAATCAGTTTGTCTGACGATCGCTAAAGCGTGAAACACAGGGTCACAAACTCACATCTATCCAATATATATATATATATATATATATATATATATATATATATATATATATATATATATATATGTGTGTGTGTGTGTATAATCAAACAAACTTTTATCACACACACACACACACACACACACACACACACACACACACACACACATATATATATATATATATATATATATATATATACACCTGTGCGAGTACACATACACACGCACCTCTCTCTCTCTAGATATATATATTCAGTTTTAGCTCATATTAGTATAAAAAAAATGAGAGCTTAATGCTCAATTTTCCTAAAACTCTGAGTAATGAATTTTGATATATAATATTATTTTAATAACATTATCGCAATATATATATATATATATATATATATATATATATATATATATATATATATACATTGTGAGATAAAGATAGTGAGAGGAGTGAGAACGAGAAAGTGAGTGAGTTATCAGCATTGTTGTTAATGTTAATTTCAGTGAATAACATCATATTTTTGTTAATCATTTCACCCCAAGCAAGGGGTAACACGATTGGTAGGCAAAGGCCGGGGACCACAGGGTGTGAAAGTAAAAGTGAAGACTGACAATCGGGAGGATTAAGGAAAGGACAAACGATGAACGGGCTTCAAAAAGCCAGAAGATGGTGATTTAAATTATGCCGTATCAGATTTACATGCATATGCATATTTGCATAAATATTTGCTGAATTATTTTTGTTGATTTACTGCTCAGCTTGATAAGTATGTTTGGCTCTGGTAAACGTCAAAATCTTTGACCCTGACTAAAAGTTGCCGCCAAAAAAAGCTTCTTACTTCTAAAAGTATCGATATAATTCAATAAAATGTCTATTTCTGTTAGTGTGCATTATGCATTGCGGCATGAATTCATATACGACGGTATGCATTCTGGTTAAAAAATCTTAAAGTTTCCTTTAATGGAATACACTTAGTGTTTCTTTTTTAACGTTAGGTTCCTTGGTTAGCCATTGTTCTTTTTCTTTTTCTTTCTTCCTTTTCTTCGAGCACTCTGTTCTTCCGAAAAAAGAAAACAAGCATCATTTTGTTCTGATTCAAATCTATGTCAATTTCTGTCAAAGACAAAACCAAATTATATTATCACTGGATAAAATGGCTTCGACACTTTAAAAAAACAATATCCACCATATATTTTGTATTTTTCATAGCTTTTTCTCCATTGTACTCTGTCACTTATTTTTAATTTGAATTGTTATCAAATTCGCCCAGTGAAGTATATATGAATATAGACATCCGTAGACACAGTAGGAAACATTAAACACATAGGTGCAAAAAAAACATATATGCCCAGTAAATACAAACACACACACACACACACACACACAAATACACGCACACAAATACACACACACAAACACACACATACAAATACATACACACACAAATACACACACACACACAAACACACACATATGTTTAAGTTGTTAATGCCTGTATTTGGGAATGAGAATATACGTATATGTTTAAAATGTCTGCGTATGTCTAGGTAGGTATATATGTGTATACATATAATTTCGTGTGTGTATTTTTGCGTATTATTAATACAAACGTCGCCTTAATAATGTCACAGGAGATACAATCTGTATATATATATATATATATATATATATATATATATCACAGTGTGCGATATTTGTTAATAAAAGTGATGTAAACATGATCACAAGGAAAAATGAAATCGGCTCGACTATATTCCCAAAACATATATTAAAACCAAAAATTAAATTTAAAATTCATCCTTCGTGCGCATGCATAGTCGCATCAAAGTAAAAATAACTTTAGTCCGATGAAGTCCTAAGGGCCGAAACGCGTCACGTTAAAGCTTTTTCCACAATTGTTCTTGGCATAATAATTTATATAGCGTTTTCCCATCTATCTATCTATCTATCTATCTATCTATCTATCTATCTCTATATATATGTATTATATATATATATATATATATATATATATATATATATATATATATATATATATATATGATGGATACTCGTCGCGGACGACAAATGAGGGCTCAGTAAAATAAAGCGGTGCTTAATTTTGGGGGATACGCATGTGTCTTCCAAGGCCTGCAGATGTCTTGCAAGCTTTTAGACAAGTGGAACATGTGTTTGAATCATTTTGCTCGAGTCGTTGAGGATCAACTGTTTCATGTTTCCGCGGTTGGACAGCAAGACCTGCTTTACTGCGTGCGACAAAGCCACGGTGGCAGTTAAGACTGTTATTGGAAGGACCAGCATATTTTCTTTACTATTTACAGAAATGCAATCTCCACTTGAATAAATACATTCATAAGCAACATTAGTTTAATGTAGTGGGTGGTAGTTGAGGAATATTATTTTTGAAGTTTCGATTCATTCAGTTAAGTGCCATACGGGATACACGCTTGGGAGATCATGTCTTTTCCGACTCCTGTCTGACTAGGCAGAATATTTTCTCGCAGTAGGTTGCCATTTCTTTCTGTGGTAGACTGGATGCCAACCAACGCTATAGGACACAGGCTTACATGCTGTTTAACTTATAACTGTGGAGAGTAGGAATGAATTCGTACCTTTCCCAGGGGTATTTGCGCGGAAATAAATGTAACGAACCCGACCAGAATTCGAACTTGGCCCCTATATTAGATTACTGATTTTATTTCTATCAATATGTTTAATATGTCTATGTATTACATTTGTTATTACAATTCATACTTTTTGGATTTGTGGTATATTTGATTCTATAGAATATATTAATGGTATTGTTATTCATTTTATATTGTGTTTATATTAAGATTATTATTGTGCAAGCGAAGTCTTACTTGACAGTCAACAGTATAATTATGGAAGCCGTTGTTAATAAGTGTTTGTTTTATGTTATTTAATTCCTCAGGAAAAATTGTTTTAGATGAGAAGATTAATTTAGCTTTTAGGATTAAATTGTTTATGACAGCAAATTTAAATCTTTTAGAACATTAACTTTTGTATTTCAGAAGGCAAAAATCAGAACAGGATTATTTTTTATACAGTTGGGTAGTAAAATTATAACCATTATAATCAATAATAAAATCTGAAAAGGTATTTTTTAAATTAACATTTAAAATCCCACCTCTAATACTCCCACGGACACATTTAATACTTCAATAAATTCACGTCCAGTACTCCCAAAGGTCGATATCCACATATTCTCTACTTCCAACAACAAATATCCAATGTTCTCACTAACACACATCCAATGCTCCCAATGATCAACACCCATCTAATACTCCAACGAACATACCTCCTATACTTAAAATAATTCAGGTCCATTACTCCCACGAACACACATCTAATAAGTCGCAGCATCCTCACATCTAATACTGTCGTAAGCAAAATACAATAGTACAAACGTACAACATCCACGCATCTAATACTCCCATGGACACATATTCAATACTCCTATGAAGCCAAATCTAATACCCCCACGAATACCCATCTAATAATTTCCATAATACACATCTAATACTACCATGAACACACATCTAATACTTCCACGAATAGCCATCAAGTACTGCCAAGAATACACATCCAGTACTCATACGAACTCACGTCAAACACATCCACAAATACACATCCAACATTCCCATGAACACACATGAATAAACCGACGAATATCCATCAAATAGTCCTATGAACACGCATCAATACGCCCACGGATATCCATCAGATATTCCTAGAACCACACATCCAATACTCCAACGAATACTAACTACTATTCAATAGATGCATCCATTTAAAAAAAATATAAAGTGCGTCTATGCTTTCCAGATTTTATTTGGCCATTTAAACCATTTTTGCCTGAACCAAAATTTAAATGTTAATGATTATTCTCAAAGTTATTGAGAATATATATATTTGCTTAAATTTAATTAAATTTTTTAATTGATTTATTCAATCGTTCCTTCGTTTTTTTTATTTTCTTTATATTTTTTGCTGTTAGGTGTTTTATTCCGTTTTATTTTTCTTCATTTTTCTTCTCTCTTCTTGAATTTCCTTCGAATATATATTTTCTTCTCTTTCTTCACGCATTATTTTCTTTCCCTCGCCTTTTCCCATCTCAACATTAGTAATTTTTTTTATCTAATTTCACACTTGGTCTCCGCTACTGCAGTAGTTATTCTTCATCTGTCTATCTATGGTGATTTAAAAAATGTTGACACTTCTATGGGTGTACCTGTTTTTCTATTAACGTTACAACATAGATGTGTCACCGTTTTTTTAACCAACTTTGAAAGTTTCATAGTTCATAGTGTATCGACAAAAATGCTGAAAAGGTGAAGACTGTTTGAAATCATAATATCAGTATGATCTGCTAATGAATGCACTTTCACAGAGGTGTTAAAAGCTTTATATATATGTATATATATATAGTGAGAGCTATTAGTCAGTCATTGGTGTGTTTATTCACAGAGTAAGTACGTAAAGATTCGCTATTCCTTCAACGGTGCGCCGAATGGGGGAAAATCTCCGACTGTTGCCGAATCAGTCGGGTTTCGATTCCGGATTGAAGCAGTCGGATGTCTAGCCATACTTATGAGCTGCGAAACAGTCTGTCTGTGGATGACAACATATATATATATATATATATATATATATATATATATATATATATATATATATATATATATATATATATATATATATATATATATATATATATATATATATATATATATGTGTGTGTGTGTGTGTAGAACGTTCGCTTTCCGACCATGAGACCTGTGTTCGAATCTCACCATGGTTGATTTATCAGGAACGTGACTACTTAATGTTATCGGTCTGGGGATCTAGCCTAGCATTCGGCATATATATTTGGAATTGCTTGAAAATCATACCATGGATTGACCCAAGCAGTGTGAGTCAATTTGGGCACACAGAACTGTTCGGAAAAGTTACAGCATGGGGTCACAGTATCATAGCAGGTGGGGACTGTGAGTGTGGAACAAGCACTACACGCGACAGGGATTGGTTAGCCGTCCTAGCAGATGCGTATGCTCGGAATACTAGATTTGCTGCTCATATATATATATATATATATATATATATATATATATATATATATATATATATATATATATATATATATAATGGAATGGATATGAGTTTGTGAGCGTCAGTTTCACGCTTATGCGATCCTCAAACTGATTTATTTTTAAAATTTGAAACTATTTATGTCAGTTTTGTTTAATTATGTTTGGTGTTGATGTCCATTCAACTAAATATGTTAGCTCGATTACTGATATTGATATATATATATATATATATATATATATATATATATATATATATATATATATATATATATATATAATATATATATATATATATATATATATATAATGATTTGTATATATATTTATATATATATTTATACATACACACACACACACACACACACACACATATATATATATATATAAAAATATAATTTTGTTGACAAAAACTGTTTTTTTATTAAATGTTGATACATTTTTCAGGACTTTTATTTCTCTTATTTTAACATATTCAATTAAAAATATGGATTTGCTGACATGTTTTTAATCATCGTAGATAAATGAAGAATAAATGTTGCAGTGACGAAACTAAGCAGCGTGGGGGACACTAATAATATAAAAAGAATAAATTCTCCCAAGATGCAAAGACTATATTGGGAAACTATTTTACGACAAGATAAAAAGAAAGCTGCAACACGCAAAAGTACTGATGGACTGAATTAAGACCAGCTTTGGAGAAGATGATCAGGAAACTGCAGGACCGGATGGGATTGTAATAAAAATTCTCTGAGCAATAGACGATTTTGGTATCGACTAGATTACACAAGTAAATGAAATATACAACAGTGTCGTCATATCGGAAAGCCATAATAGATTCACTATCGCAGAGCTATCTGTGTGCAATGATTGCGAGCTATATTGCTCAATGAGCCACAAAGCCAGGCTTGTAATCTGAATTCTGATGAATAGAGCGCGAATCAAAATTAGACCTGAGATATGTCAAGAATAGTACGGCTTCGCGTAAATACCATTAGGAAATATGAATTCATTTCTTCTACCACCAGCTATGGGTTAATTAGCAGGATTTGTATTAGTAAATCAATATAATCTTAAAAAATTATTTCAGTCTAAAAATATTTTCTGTTTTAAATGACCTACAAAGTGTTGATAAGCCATAAAATCAACTAAATAAATCAATATACTGGCGTCTGGAGTAAATATTGTATGTTTATACATGTCATGATAGGTAAACAGTAGAGTTTATATAAGGTGGCATTGATAGGATTTATGTTAGAGTCTCTATGTAAACCTTAGTTGTTAATATCAGAGTTTCTACAGTATGCAGTCAGTGTATTCTTGGCTACTCCGTCAGGTCGTTGATATCGTGGAGGGATACTCTCTTATGAAGGTGGATTTCGGTCAGTGTCGAATATTAAAATGATCAATGAACCTGAGGAAATTAGTGTCTATATATCTTATAGGATTTTGAAATAAAATAGATAAAACAGATTGCATCTGACACATTAAATTTAGAATTTTTGTTCCGTTGGCAGAATTGATTTATTGTTTTAACAAACAGAATTACGGAGGGTAATTGATGAGACTATTGACTTACAAGACGGTAGGTTTGACATATGATCAGAAATGACCTCGAGCCCAGCACGTGTAATTAACGGTGATACTAGTAATTGTGTCGTTGCCACGGAACTTTGTTTTTTTTGGGGGACGCTTCTATTAACACTGACACTTTGAATTTTAAATGGTAAGGTGCAGCCCGGGTGTATGTGCTGAACTTTGGTTACTTTTCGCCCAGCGATTGGGCAGTTGATTAAATTTGAAGAAAAGAAATACAGTCAAGGGAAGAAATGACACAATCAGCTGTAACAGAGATAAAGGTAAAAGAGAATTCTGGCAATTAATGACTTAATGGTAATGGTAATATTAACCGTTTCCTAACTGACCGAACAGCCAGTGCCACTGTCGGTTGAAATTTATAAAACCTTTATCTTAAAACAATTTTTCAGACAAATAGGTTTCTCACTTCCAGTAGTTGTTATCGCTCTTTCCAGTATTGATGCGTGTTTCCTTCCCAGCATTTTATTCGAAGTAGTGTGAAGAATTAACATTTTGGTTATGTCATTATTTTCACTTCGAGTTACATGTGCTAACCATTTTAGCTGCTACTGTGCTTGAACGCTCCCTAGTGATGCCCTTTCTGTTAATTGGTACTGTTCTTTGTTTCTGATTCTGTAGCGCCAGTCCACAAATCACAAAGAATTATGGTCCTAACTGAGACCTACCGTTTTCATTCGCCCAAAGCCATTTTTAACCATTGATCTGAGAAAGATGCTGTATACTGCTGACTGTTTAGATATTTCTAAACAGGTTTGGAGCCATGCTTGACATCTATATGGAAGTCTCAATCTGACGAGGCTATTTATGAAATTATTTCAAGTCTTCAGGTTCATGTTTTGGTTTTGTAGCAACTTGCGGTGTTGGGCAAAACTATCTCTAGTGCAGACAATTATCTATTCAATTCGCTTCTACTATCGTAAATTTGTTATAACTGATCCATAGACGGAGGTATTTAATGTGATTACTACTTACTAATTCCAGATCCTGAGAAATAAGAGGGAATGACATAGGATAATGTATTAAAAAATTCTAAAGATAAAAATTCTATTAAAAGTAAAGAGAAAGAGAATAAAAGAGCAAAAGGGATGAATGTATGGCTAAAGAAGGTTATAAGTGATGAAAACATTAAAATGTATCAGGATGAAAGATAGATAAAAAATGATTTCGAAATAGTAAGAAAAAAATGTCATAGGCACAAGAAAAACTTAGATCGGTGAAAGAAAAATAAAATGAATATCATTTATTGAAGCATAAACATGAGAAGTAAGAGCTAATTTGGCTAGAAGCAACACTTTGGAATTATTAAAGCAATGCTATTTTAGAAAAAAAGGAACATTCAAAGTTAGAGAGAGACAAGAATAATAAAAAAAAGAATTAGATAAATGATTGAAAGACGTAAGCTTTCAAAGTATCTTTTAATTTTTCTATTATTATCGCCGTTTCTCACACGAATTATCTTCTCTACAATAATCGCCTGCTTAGTTTTGAATGCTGCTATTATTATTATGACGATTATTATTATCATTTACTTGTTTCAATATTAAAAACATTCTAATAACTTTATTATTATTATATTGCGATTATTATTATTAACTTCTTTTAACATTCAACCATATTAAAGCTTTCATTATTATATGACAACTATTGTTATTGTTTCAATATTACAAATATTTTAAAGTATTATTATTATTATATATTACGATTATTATTATGTACTTGTTTTAAGATTCAACCATTTTAAATCTTTTATTACATTACGATTGTTATTATTTGTTTCAATATTACAAATATTTTAAAGCCTTTATTATTAATAGTAGTAGTAGTATTATAATACGATTATTATTATTTACTTGTTTCAACATTAAATCATTTTAAAGTCTTTATTATTATATTACGATTATTATTATTTACTTGTTACAAAATTAAGAACATTATAAACATTTTCAAGCCTTTATTATTATTATTATTATTATTATTATTATTATCAGATATCTTGGTGTATGGATCAATTATAACAAATTTAGCATAAGATATAAAGAAAATGAACATAGAATAGGCTGTGCTATGGTTAGTTTTACTTAACACTACATGCTGTGAAAATAACAAAATCTTAAACTAAGAGCCAGATCGATACTTTTATATGGATGTCCTTCATGGCGTCCAAAACGTTTAGAAATATCTAAACTACCAACTATATACAACCGTTTTCTCGGAACAATGGTTAAAATGGTTTCAAGTAAATGAACTCTGTAGGTATTAAAGAAGAAAATTGTTCATCAGATCTCATAGAGTCTGACAAAAGAATCAGAAACAAAGAACCTTACCAAATGACAAAACCCACATCAACTGAAGATTTCCAACAGCAGCAATAAATAAAATGAGTAACTAGAAGAGGGAAAATAATAGCATAATGAAGATGTTGATTCCTCGTACTATTTCGAATAAAAGATTGGGAAGGAAATCCTTGTCAGTACTAGAAAGAGAAATAACTATGGTCTACAGAAATCTATTTTTGTTTTTTTTTAAAAAAAAATGATTTTCTAAATTTCTAGTTCTTTTCTTATTTTCTGCTAGACAATTTTTCTCGCCAGAATATATCTTACATATTTATTAATCTATCATTTGTTCTTGCTTTGAATATTGTTGCCA